CACACACACACACACAAACAGTGGGACTCAATGAGCTGAGAATGAAACTGTCCCCTCCTGCCCCAACTACTGCACGGTGTGCTGAGGGGGTGAGCCTCACACTTCCCTGAGGTCTGCTGAACACCCACACACACTTAAGACTTGGTTTTCTCACAGCCCTCTGCTTTCCACAGAACACAACATTTGGAAGGACATGAATACTACTGGTATTAGGAAAGTCTCAAACAAAAAATCCAAAAGCCCAGTAAAATCTCCTATGATTGAGCTACTTGAAGTTTCTTATAAACTATAAAAACAGGTTATGACCAGTATTAACGGCTGACAAGATTGTCTCTTAGAATGAGGCCTTGAGACTACAGCAGCAGCCCCAGCTGCTTGCTGGCCCCCGCCCGGCGGATAGGGGTCACCAAGACAAGGGGAAAGAAAGCAGCACACCAGGAGACAAGATGGCAGAGGCCGGCGCACAGAAGCGTGGGGTAGGCAGGTGGCACGGCACATTCAGCGCGTCCCGGGCAGGCTGGCTGACACCAACAAGCACACGCTGGGAGGGGGAGGCACAAACAGCATCTGTGGTTTCTACTGAGTTTGCTTTGGGTGAAAATGAGAAAGAAGAGCCCCTCTACCTCTGCACACGGGGCCAGGCTCAAAATCAAACACTAGCTCACTGGGGACAGAATGGAGGAGGGGGCTGGGAGTCCGGGACTGGCATTTCCGAAGACAGCGCGCCAGCTGGTTCAAAGGGGCTGTTAGAAGAGAGAGAGGGGCAGGCAGACATAGGAAGACAGACACACAGAAGAAATGAAAGAAGTCATGGGCGGAAGTACGAGGACTCACAGCCTGCTAACAAAATCATTCTGGACCTCTGACAAAGTCCACTCACTGTTATCCCATCCCAATGGTGTTAAACCACTCCTGGAAAGGACGAGTAGTGCCGCTGGGTCCTCAGGGCTAAGCAGACCCTGTCTGCGGCGGAGCTAATGTGGGTGTGGACAGGATGGCGACACTCAGATGCTGAATGTGTTGGGCAGAATCACCAGAAGCCACAGCTATGAGGACACATGGCAGTCATGCTAGCCACAACATTTACTGGAGGTCACGGGGTAACAGACAGAAAACACCAGCATCAGACCTCCAGGAGCCATACGCCACAGGAGACTGCACAACGTAGGGGTCATCTTGGCCATTGCCCAGGTATACAGAAACAGACCAGCCCTTGCAGGGTAGTGCAGAGAGGGCAGGGTCCAGGGAAGAGACCAAGTGGCAGGGGCAGTCTTGCAGGTTCGAGGGGAGTGCCCACTGAGGTTCGGCACCAAAGCGCCATTCTGTGTCTCCCTCACGTCTCTTTGCGACTGGACTCACGAGGAGAGCAGGGGGCTGTCTGTTCTGTGAACCTGGGGGTGAAGGGAAGGGCTCCCCCTGCACGCTGGTCTGGGAAAGCAAACCCTATGAGAGCCCGTGGGGTAAGCTTCTCCGCTTTTGCATACGCTGCCACTGCATGCATTTCCAAATTACAGCAAGTGCAGGTTAACACCCGACTTCCCATACTATCAGGTAGTGAAAATTTCACCCCAGACTAAGGGTCAGTATTTTAAACTCTAGGTTTTCTGTGTCTGTGTCTGTAAATGAAGCGAGTATAAAGGGGACGGGCAGCAAAGCATGGCACCCCACCCCCACCCCTGAGAACGGATTTTAACTGAGGTCACGCTTACCTCCATCACCACGAAAGCCCTGGTCTCTGATCAAGTCCTACAAAGAAACAGGAGCAGGTCTTATTCAGAGCACGTGCCAGCAGAAAGAAAACAGCACCGACTTTCCCACCAGGAGCGGATTCTGAGCCACCTGACTTAACAATGCTTTCCCCACATGCAAACAACGGGGAGTAAATAAAAACCCATAAACCGATCCAGTGGGCTTGTTGTGAGCCGGGTTTGTTTCGTGGGCGCTCAGTTCTGGGGTGGTTTCTGCCATCCAGGACTTAAGACCAAATTGATGCTCATTATCTAGTATCTAAGGGAGACAAATTTACCGAGTGATGTTAACTTGCATGAGCAACTCTAAAATAGTTTTACATGCTTGACGATGCACAGGTCACCTGGCAGAGTGGAAACAAGAGTCACAAGGACCACAGGGCTGACGGCGACAAACGCTAGTCAAAGGGGAGAAGCCCACTCACCTGTCTGGGACAGCACGGACGGACGCCCCGTCACAGAAACAGCAGGAAAGGGGCAATGAATACAGTCTGTAAATTCTGCAGCTCAGTCAAAACTGAGCTTTGGGGCCATAGAGGGAAGGTGTCCGACGGTCTCCACAAAGAAGCCAAAGCCAGTGCTTTGCATACCCCCCTCCCTCTTTGTCATGGGGGCCAGCAGACTCGGAGGGGAAGTGACTGGGGATCAGTCGAGTATCTGACAGGCAAGCAGTGCGAGCCCAGGCCCCAATACACAGGAGGCACATGCAGCAGTGCCCCTCGGTTCCACGGGTGCCGGCTGTGGGGTTTGGGGTTGGTTGTTACTGTTTGAGGCTCCCCCCCGCCCCCGACACTGGCCAGTCCCTCTGTCTGTGACTCGAGGGTGAGGGACCGGCTACTCACATCGATATTGACAGGTTCTATGGTGTTGATGTGCACGTTGGGGGCCGAGGAGGAGCGGTCTCGCTGCCCAAACTGATTTCGATGGTCTTCGTCCGCTGGTCGGAAGGGCTGTGGAATTGGAATGGATTTTGAAGGAGACGGGCTGGTGAGAATTGGGGGCCTGCAAAAACCAAGCCATTGGAAGGTAAGACTTAGAGCAACCTCAGAGAGCTACTAGCAAAGTACAGAGAAAAGAAGTCACAAACATGTCCTTGTTTTATTTTCACAATTATCATCTTCACAGTTGAAAGCAGTACAGACAGACTCAGTGACGCTGGTGTACATCCATTCACAACTGCCACTGCCCACCCACTCTGGGCCCTGCTGCTCACCCAGAAGGCCCAGAGCAGCCAGCCATGGGCAACACTCTTGCCCTTCAAACGCAGAGATGCTCCAGGCACAGAATGCAGCAGGCACAGGACCCGCAGTTTTCTTTTTCTCTACCCCTTCTTGCCATCAGAAGCTACTCAAGTGCACCTCTTATGGTAAGTCAGGGTGGGATAGGTACTGTGAGAGTGTGTGTGCTTGTTCCAGGGTCTGGAAGGTGCAACTGTGGCCTGACCCCTGACCTGGGGGTTAGCTGGCAAGAGCAAGAGGCTGTTTCTGAGTCAGAAGACATTTTCCACTGCCACTAATGCTCATATCTGGATACATTTGCCCAATTATTGATGCCAGAGTCACAGGAGACGCCTGTCTTGTATTAAACATTAAATTCTCCCTTAGATGACCCAGGTCCCGTGTCGGTGTACCTGCGGCTCTCTGAGTGGCCAGGCGGGGGCGCCGAGGACCAAGTGCACTGGGTGAAGGGCGAGGCTTGGAGGAGGACAGAGATTTGAAGAGCAGTCAGGCAAACAGTGGCAAGGAGAATCTGAATGTGGAGTCCAGGGCCCTAGCACGGTCTGACTTCCTGAAAGCACACTGCTGGGGGTAAAATGAGCAACGTAGACTTCACCTGCTCCGTCCATCACTCAGACTTGACAGGCAGCTTGTGAAGTGTCCAGCACGTCAAACAAGCGGGGTTTGGTCCAGTGAGAAGACTCCGTGAAGGAGGCCTGCAGGCAGGAGCATGTCCAATCTTCCTTTTGATTCTTTTTGGCATCAACAGGTTTTGAGTTTTGTGGCAGAACTGGCTCTACACCCTTTGCCAAGGGGCTCTGGGTGCAGGCATGGAGAGTAGAAAGTGACACTGAGATAGAGGGCTCGGGGTCCTTGTCTCTCGGAGAAGCCACATGTGGACAAGGGAAGCTGAAGGCAGGCCTGAGTGCGCCCAACACTGGGACGCACGCTGTGCTATAGCATAAGTGCCTTACCGACGGGTGGGGGCCACGGCCCAGAGCTAAGGGCGCTGGGGCACAAGCAGGAGCGCCCTGTGCGCATCTGTCTGCTCCACACTCAGAGGCCTCCGCCGGCCCCAGTGGGGGGTGTGGGGCCCAGGGCAGGGGCCTGCTGCAGCCCAGAAGGACACGCTTGCTGGCACCCATCTGGAGGCACTTTTGCAAATGCCCCCATGGAAGTGTCACGTGGGTCTGCCATGACACCAGAGTCCGGTTCGCGCATCAGGCCGACTCCTCGCTGAAACGAGTCTTCAAGATCAAGTCGAATCTCCACGCTGGGACATGACTTCACGCTCGTGAAGTGTGTCTGGCACCAGCAAACGAGCTCCTCCTCAGGCCTCCTTGTGGGTTAGGTTCAGGGCTGCCGGCCACAGGTCAGCACTCAGCTGTCCCCCAGGTCAGGTGAGGCTGCTGCGCCTGTGGCTCTCACTGAGTCGCAGCCATACCTTTAACTTGTCTTGTCTCAGCCTCTGTGAAGCTTCACAGCACTGAATGGAAACACCAGGGAAGTGATTTCCAACACCGCTGCACTCTCAATTCTCGAAGCCAAATGCCACTTCTGCGTGGTGATGGGCAGACCCAACACACCCCGGCTTCCCACAGAGCCGACGTCTCCCTCGTGCACGTGCTGCCCGCGCAGAAGAGGTGGCGCCTCCAGCTCTGCATGCCCCACAGGGCACCCCCCCGCCCCAACCAAAAAGGGCCTGGCTCTGAACCCAAGCATCTGGCTGCCTGACCATGGTCAGCTACCAGGCAGTGGACAGTGTACCCAGCAGGAATCCCGAAACAGAGCAAGGCTGGCTCCTATCTTTCCCCAAGTGCCTCACATCAGGGACCTTCAAAAAGACATGGAAATCCCACCATCCTCAACCCCAGGTTCCGCAAACTCTCTGAAGCATTTTAGAGGACAGCTGGGACATGTCTGAGCGTCTGCTCAGGTCAGTGGTGCATAAAGCAGTCATGGCAAATGATCTCTCCGTTTTCCCGTGGCACTCCCTCAGGGTCGACAGAGAGGCACACATCCAGGACTGGCACCAGCGAAGGGCCTAGCAGCAGCTGTCCATCCTATGCTGGCCAGCAGAAGCTCTGCTATGGAGCCACATCTGTGCCAGGAAGGCTCCCTTCCTGCTCACTCTGCCAGCAGCAGCCACTCAGACCAGCGGACTGGCCAAATGAAAACCATCCCGTGTATCTCCTGCAAAGCCCAGCAGAGCTGAGAGCTGTGGGGAGGGCAGGGCCACAGGGTCCTGGCTGGCAGGGCTGTCAAGTGTGCATTACTAATTACTCCAGGTAGAAATCTAAAAAGTAACACCACCTTGTGAAAAATGAGATAAAGTGGGGTTAAAACTAAGAAAACATGTTCCTGATCTTAACTATGTATTTCTGGAACATTCTGAAGCAGAATGTTGTGGGCTAACTTTGAGAAACCAACCAACCATTAGCCTCCAGCCACAAGACCATTTAAGCTGCTCCCAGCCCAGTGGGGAAGGGGTGCGCAGACCAGGGCCTGATGTGCTCCCTCCATCTGTGAGCACTGCCCTCAGTCCCTTACCATGTTGCAGCCTCACCCCTAGTCGCCCCAGGCTCCTTCATGAAGTCCTCCTGCCTCCTCCCGATCGGCCCCTATTCCCCCTCCCACTCATATCAGAGCCTGTCCACAGCACACACACTCTTTTTAAACACAGCCATGGTTTTGAAGGGCAGTGCCATGTTCTGAGTGGAAACCACATGCCCGCCCACCCCACGGCCAATACTGCTGAGGGAGGGAGGGAGCGCAAGGCCAAGGTCACCCCTCCTCTGTGACCTGCTGGGGACTCTTCTCTTCTCCGGATGGTCTCCAGGAGCCACCATCCCAGAACCAAGACTGATGGCGTGGGAAGACTAACAGTGACTTTAAAACAAGCTACTCGGGGCAAAATCACAACACAACTCCAGCTCTGGGTGGAACTGTCCAGGGGCTGGCAAACTGAGACAGAGTGATGGGGACAATGAGCGGCGGGTGTCAGAGCGCAGCAGGAGACAAACCGTACCCGGGAGAGTCTGAGGGGGGTGCAGGAGGGGATGGTCTGGGCCCAAGGGTGGTCTCTGCCGAGGAGGCCTCCTCCTGCGGGATGGGGTGGTGTTCAAAGAACTTGGAGACAAACAGCAAACTGTGAGGTAAAAACAAAAACAAAACAAAACAAACCTAACTCGTGCAAAACCCAGAGCTTCAGACATCAGAACACAGGGCATCGTTAACAGAAAACCTGCAAGTCCCATGTTCAGAAATCCAATTACAGTGTACCTGGGGGTGAAGGATCGCTTACAGAAAGCATATTGTACTTTCCATGGCGAGCCCAGTCATCCAAAACGGCTTTTCTACAGCAAAGTCCGGAACTTTAGCGGGAAATTGTTCCACGGGGCTAAGGGTCTGTGGCTAAGCTAGAGCGCATGGTGGCCACCCGCTGCTCTGCTCTGGGACCGGGTGGTGCCCTGGCTGCCCCAGTAGAAAGCAGCAGCCAGGTGTCAGCTGCAGCAGTGACACGGAGAGGATCAGCCTAGTCTGTGGGTCAAAGTGGAGCACAGAGCAGAGAAACTGTAGGTAGTAATCATTGGAAGCCGAGATTTTACATCTTACTTTTAAATAAAATGGGTCTAGAGGTAGAGAAGATAGAGAAAGGAAGTCAGTGAAGAAGAGAGAAAGTAAATATGATTTCTCTAAGACCCCTGCTCCGTGGTAAAAAAGTGTACTGGTCACTGTGATTCAAAGACCTCTCCCTTTCTTCTACAAGTCTTTCTGGGTGAAGGCTCTTCACGAGCCAGAAGAGCACACAGACGAGGTGTGAAGTGCTCGCTCTGGACGGAAGAGCCAGCTGCATGGCGTCCCAGGCTGCGGCCACTCTCGCCTCACCCCGGGAGGCCCCAGGGTTACTTACTCCAGCTGGTCGTAGTTGACGCACATCAGAGGCACCTCTGTGCTACAGCGCTGGTGGAACTTGTATCCGCACGTCTGACAGCGGAAACCCTGGAACAGCAGCTTTCGACAAAAGTCACAAAATGCTAAGGTAAAAAAAGTTTTCCGTACCTGCAAAGTAAAGAATCACAGAGGGTTTCAAATGTTGCAGGAATCCTTGGGGAAGTCAACATATTTACTCTCAAATTGAAATACTGTATCTTTAGCATGTATCTTAAGAAAATGAAGCAAACAGCTGGACAAAAAAAAAACCAGGAGTGAGAAGTAGCAGGCGGACCTGGCCCGTTTTAACACCTGCTCAAAACGGGATGAGAAGTGGACGGAGGGCTGGGGGGCGCCTAATCCAAGCCTGACAACGGACAGAAGGGGCGGGGGGCAGGTGGACAGACGGCCTGGGCACTGCTGGACTTGCGGCTGCTGCTGAACAGCGAACAAGGGACCCCGCATGGGGGTGGGAGGAAAGGAGCCAGTTGTCACTCTGAAGCCGGTAACTCAGAACACGGTGGCTGCAGGGTGTCACTCACAACATGAAAGCCGTCTCCAGAGGAGCGTAACAGAAACCACTCAGAGTGAGATGAGAGCGGCTTCCTCTAGCGTGTGTGTGTGTGTGTGTGTGTGTGTGTGAGAGAGAGAGAGAGAGAGAGAGAGAGAGAGAGAGATACACACTTTCCTTCACAGGCCCC